CCCTCCTTATGAAGCTAGGTTGGCAGCTCCTCACGAGACCCGATACCTTATGTGTACGAGCTATGAAGACCAAGTATAAATTGAACGTCCCGAATTTTATTAGCTAACGGGAACTTACCGAAGGGGTCTGTTACTATGAGAGCCTTAGGAAAAATTTGGGATACTTTAATGAAAGGTGTAAGGTGGTCCGTCGGAGACGGTAAGCAGATACGGTTCTGGCAGGACTGTTTACTGTGTTTTTGTTCTTATTTTCGTGTGATTTATGTGTTTTAGTTTAGTGTTTTTAGGTTCATTTTAGTGTCGACCGGTCCATTTTATAGTGTTTTGTGTATTTTTGTTCTCGTATTGTGTTTTTGTGGTTCGGCGTATTTTTCTTGTATTTTTGATGTTGAATAGGTCCATCATTACTATGCTTGGGGAAACAAACGATCCATTTCTGAGATATTTCTGATCCGTCCAAACCATGTCCGAGCCACGTGAACCATTTCTGAGTCGTTCCGAGCATACTTATTAAGTGTGTGGTGATATTGATTTGCGCATCTCAAGACGTAGAGAACGAGATTTGGGAAGCATGGGTCAAAGTTTCAACTCAAACGGATAAGTGTGCAAGAAATTAGAGCATTTTGAAGTCGTTGTCCAGCACCAGCCCTTAGGCACCAAATTCCGCGGGCGCGAAATCCTATTCGCGAGCTACACCAAACTCGTGAGCTAGGGCCAGCTTCAAAGCACAAAATTCGAGCCCTCTAAATCCATGGCATATCCCCAGAAATGCCCGCAACCAGCGAGTTCCCTTCTGCTAGCGAAAATAGCCCGCGAGTTTACTACCATATATCCGTTGCACGTTTCTCTTTTGTTTTGGTGTTGAATAGGTCCCAACGTGTCGAGAACAAGAAGACGAGCCGTCCAAGTCGTCCAACCCGGTAAATCTGACCAAGTCATACCAGGACGAAGAGAATTCAATGAGGAGAATTGTGGTCCAAGTTTCGTGCGAATCGGAGTTGTGTGCGAAAAGTTAGAGCTAAATGAAGTCGCATGCAGCGCGTGCCCGTGGACGCCATGGCGAGCTCGAGAGTGCTGCACCGCGACCTTGCGGCATTCTTGGCGAGCTCGTGAGTGTTTCCTTAGCACACACCTGCGCCCGCGTGCCCGCGGAGAAACCGGCGAGCTCGAGAGTGTCCCAGCGCCTATGCCGCGTGCCCGCGGAAGTCCCAGCGAGCTCGAGAGTGTCCCAGCGTCTATGCCGCATGCCCACGGAAGTCCCGGCGTGCTCGAGAGTGCCCGCGCCCATGCACTTCACGATCGGCGAGCTCGCGAACTTTGCGGAGAGCTCGAGAGTGTCTTACTAAATGTGCGTGTTTTTAGTATTTGTTTGTGGTGTAGCTATAAGTAGACATTATGCTTTGTATTTTTGCTAACAACTCTCATTTCCCAACTTTTAAGTTGGGAAAATCCTCTCTATTTCTCTTTTTTTCCTTTTTATGCTTTGGTTAGGAGCTCTATTACTCATATTTTCCGGCAAGTTTCTGGCGACATCATTTTATTTCAAGTTTCGAACTTTTTCATTCGGTGTTCTTCACGCATGCATTAGGAGAGTGGGTAATTAGCTTTAATCCTCATTACTTCGAATTTGCCCTCTTTTTCTTATGATGTGTTTCAAGGTGAATGTGGTTTTGCTTGTTGATTGGAGGATTGTTCGATTCTTGTAGCTCGTTGACGTGTGTTAGGGATTAGTTTGTGCTTATCTTGTTTAAAGGTTGCGACTTTGTTTAAAAGTGTAGTCATTTAGTAGAAAGCTCGATTTAATCACCTAGGATCACTTGGCAATGTTGATGTCCCTCGGTTCTTTCTGTGTTTATTCGAGTGATAGAGACCCCGGTTGACCTAAAGCTCTCATCTTTGTTTTTAAGTTTTCATTTGCTTTCGATTTCCAATTGCGAGTAGTGTTTAATTCAAACCCCCCAATTTGCGAGTAGAATGTTTAGGACCTTTTTGGTTGTGTGACTTTAACGACTAGATAGTGAACGAAGCTCCGAAGAGCCTTCCTTTGAGAACGACCCGAGTCGGGTAACTCGGTTACTGTTGGAACCCACGAGGATCTCGATATGGACAAATAACGGACAAACATTCAACATAAACCTATGCGCAGCGGATCTAAAGGTTTGATGAAGAAAACTTACTGCTTAAAATTTATGTAGATCTGGCTGGCCCAGACAGTTGACCGCAAATCAAATCTTCTCGGAATCAAACAAACTTGCCCAATCCAGAAAGCTGACGTCACGGCGAGGTCAACGGCGTTGACCGATCGGAAATCGGAGGTCACACGCTCTCTCACGCGCCGGTGCAAGTCCCAGCAGCAGGCTCCT